GAACCCCTGATATTGGGAACAACTGTATATGTAGGCGCATTAAATGAGAATTACCCGCTTGCGCCGTTTCCTCAAATACGAGGATATATAGATATCGTACTACGAACACTCGGGACTGTCTTAGAACACTGCGTACCAATGCTGCTAAATAATTCTCGTTCTTCATCATACGCGGCCAACCATCGCCAACCAATCGCAGTCTTGTCGGAGCACGACACGAGGTGCGAATAAAGGAAACGCCGCTCCTTCGCGGAGTTACACATCGGAGGTAATAAAACGCGGTGGTAATTACTTTGCCAGACAATCATTAATCTTCATCATTGTATCGACCGTGTCGGTAAGTTGCGACGCTCCATCGGTGTTAATGAAACGGCGTGATATCCAGATCGCGATTTTCCGAGATGGAAGTCTATACGTTTTTTGTTAAACAATATTTTTGCATTACCGTGTAAAACTCATACGAAAACTGCATTAGTTGCAAAGAATTCGTGATCTCTTCAACGTTTCTATCTCGCAATTTGTAAGAAGGATTCGTTTCCTTAACGATCTAAAGAAATAGTCATTAAGATGTACACGCGGTGCAATTCGCGTATACAGAACTTGCGTTTCAGTTAAATTGGATTAAGACATTAAACGCGCTAATAGAGCAGCCACGAATACAGGTACAGAAGGTTCGCTAAATCAAGATCCTCATACTATGAAAGCCTCTTTTCTCTTCTCTCGGTAGGTATTCATCTATTTGAAAACCGTCAGTGTAGGCTCGACGATTCACGACAGAAATAAATACGGAGTGAAAAGAGTTCAAGCTCTTTTCACGGAAGGATATAATTGCCAGAAAAATAAACGATCGTAAAGTCTGTTTGCCCACATCTTTCTCCAGTACTTTCCCGTGCCCAGCGAGGCAGAACTCTTCGTACTCTGTCTTCTGATCCTCCTACTTTCTGAGCCGCACCTGCCAGAACTACCCTCTCGCGCTAGCTACTACCCCCATTTGGTCCATCCTCGTCCGCTTTTATCTACTCTTTGGCTACCTCCTGTGCATGTCCCACCTATACACCACCACTATATCCTAATCGTCATCCCCTCAATCTCTCGCCGTTCGTTTCTCGCGTTTCTTTTTCCTCGACTCCTTGCTACCGTCGTGACTCCGTGGAAAAGCTCTCGAATCGTGGGTCAACGAATTCGCAATTACGATCTTTCACGTCGACGTGACTACCTACTCTCACGTTGACTTTGGAATCCTGGTCTCCGCTTTTGTCCTCGTTGTGTATGTACGACCACATCCTCGTTTTGCAACGCGATGCAGCTTCTTGGGATTTTCTTAGAAAATTTATCACGAGACCCGATAATGCGGAGCATTCAAATGTAGTATTCGTTTAATGAAAGACACACTGTATAAACAACGACCAATGAATTACAAGTAAATCGAAAAACTTTGTCTGTTCATTCTTCTTAATCATCGAAATAATATAACATGTTTTATTTTCCCTTTAAAGCATCGACATAATTGATATGCATAGAATTTATAATCGCGAACTGTGACACATTTCTATATTCTGTTAAAATAAATTATGCATTGACATCAGATTTATTGGCATCAACGGAAATGTAAAATTATATTTTTAATACATTATTCATTTTTCTCATATTCTGAAATCTCTCTCTCTCTCTCTCTCTCTCCTATTTTTATTTAAAAAATATATGAGACGTACTAATATATTTTCATTCAACGAGTGCATCGAATGTTTAAATGCAGCTTGTTTCTGCACAAGTCTGGAAAAAATCGTGCATCACGTAGACTTTTCATTCGTGCAATCTTTATTCGTATTCTAACATTTCGAGCTGGGAAAAATCCTGACCGAACCAACAAATTGGGTTCACGTTTCAGTGACCGATGAGTAGAAAAACGTCCTCTCGGATGTAAACGCGCAAGCGCGTCCATATCCACGATATGCAAGAGATATCGGAATTCGAAAGAGAAAAAAAAACGATGGAATGGAGTTGCGCACTGTTATATCATACACATGTTTCTTTGATACACTCTGAGACACAACGGCGAGACAATGCGATGTAAAGAACAAATCTTCAAAAGCTTCGTCAGTCGACTCTCTTATTTTTGCGCATCTTTTATCTGCGTCGCATGAAACACAAGAGCGTTCGTTCATTTATAAATGTCAAATATTCTCGTCTCGTGTAAATGTTAAATGCCTCTTCCTTAAAAACATTAACGTATATAGAGCGAAAGCTATTTTAAAATGGTGAAATTGAGGGCGCACGTAAATTGTTACAAATATAAAATACCGCGTATGAGCGTCACGTTATGTCGCCAGTAAATATTTTCTCAGTCACGTATGGAAAGATGCGATGACTCGGTGCCAATGATTCCGCATCGGTAGCATTCCGAAGGGTAGCATTAAATGCAACAACTGTATATACGCGCGAGGAGCATTCGTGCATTATTCGAGAAGAATGAACGCGCAAATAAGTGTGCGCGAGCACGCGCGTACGGAAACGGCGATGTGGAGTACTGTTCGGCTTTTGCTCTTTGAAAGGCAAGCAAACACGTGACTACGTGCCCGCCGTCCTTCTTGACAACTTGCGAGAATTTATGCATTTGCTGGAGCAGTCCGAGAAAGAGAACGAGTGGAGGAAAATTTTTAACTTTATGGAAAACTGAGCTCACAAAAAAACGTTTGGAAATAATTGAAAAAAAAATTCCAATCTAATATTTTATACTATTCGTTCCAATAGCTTTTTTTTTTTATTAATTCAATAGTATTTTTCTATAACGACTGCCATTCAGAATTCAAAAAGCAATTGTACTATCTTATAAAATTCTGCTTATTATTTTAGAAAATTAGATGCTTTATTTATTTTAGAAAAAGAGGCAGCAAGAAGAATATATATTAAAAAATCAGTATCTAGATTAGTGTTGAAATTCAGGCCAGAAGATGATGTTTGTTTGAGTGTATACCTATGGTAATTTCCAAAGTAATTTGATGCGCTGAAATTAAATTTACACGGAAAGAACGGATATGCTGAAGTATCTAATAAAGTTAGATACAGACGCAAATAATTTTTTAGAGTATCAAAATAATTAATAATATGCATGCAGCATTGCTTATCATGCTTGAGTTTCTTACACAATTATTTTAATAGTCCAACAAAATTATTTTTAGAAACATATCTATTTGAATTTTTTAATATTTCAGTAAAATCGTTCTTTAAATGTAATATTATAATTTTGTCATCAAAGTCTGCAGTATTAAAATATTAAAAATAATGATTTTTAATATTATATTTTTAATAACTATACTTATTACAAAGTAAAATATAATATGATTAATATAATTAATTTAATTAATAATTATTAATATCATTAATTGTTCTTTTTTAAATCTTACCTACGATATTTAAAGTTAGAATCTTTTACAGCAAGTTTTTTTGTTTCTACGTTTTTCTGATTGATGTATGAAATTTGGAATTAAAAAAAATTTATTGTATAGAAACGTTAGAGATAGTTGAAAATCAAGAATAACTTTTAGTGAACAAAAATCTTATGACAATGATACAAAAGAGTATATTTTTAGATTTCATGTGTAAAATAGAACTTTATTTTGCAAAGCACTTAATTACACGAAAGTACTTTATTTTCGTCTGACTCTCTTCTGTTTTACAGTAATTTGATTTCGACCTCTTTCTCAGTCGCATCAGATACATCAGAATCTGCACCACGTCAAATCGTATTTTAAACCGCGTTGCCCCCTCCCCTCCCCCTCCCATAGGTCGCGCCAGTCTAAATAATTCATTCCATGAATTATTTCTGTTCCTATTTCCGACTCGCAACGAAAATCGATCTCTTTGATCGCCATGCCCGTCGCGGTACTTTGTCCCCCGTGTTACGTATCCTTCGATTCCGTAATCCCACATGCCGCGTATTTCAACTGTCCAACCTCCGCAACTTTTTCGCATTTCTCCGCAGAATCGCTTTATACGAACAAAACAAATAGTCTTCTTCAACTAGTACGTCACAATAGCGAGCATCATATTCCCGGAGACTGAAACGTTTTGTTTTCCGAATAAGCGACGATCCGCCGGCGGGCGTTTATTTTACTTGGATATCGAGGAAAACCTGCATTATATGTAAACGTAGCTTTCAACGTTCGAGAACGGATTATAGAAGCTCGCGTACGCTGCTTCTTAATCCGGGGATTTCGACTGAAATATTTGGTAGATGCTATCGGGCAGTGACGCGACCGTTCGCTCCAGCGTGCATTTAATCCAGGAACGAGCATGGTCCTGAATCGATTCGAAATCTAGGTCGAATTCGGCTTAGTGGAATTGATTTCTCCGGTTTCTCGGTTGCGAACAATGTATATGTCGTGGGGTTTAGACCGGCTTCGCGAATCAGGTCGTTCCGTCGGCTTCAACGAGACAAAAGATAAAATTCTATCCGCGGCGCTTACCAACCAACAAATCGAGTAATCGTTTCAACATCGAGTTTAATCCACGGACAAATCCAGATCGCTTGACCTGAGGTAGTGGCTGCATCACGCGAAGAACAGAGAGGAAAATATTGATTTCTAAATAAATGCGATATAACGTAATAAGTACTCGAACAAAACGTTATCTGTTGTTACAAAACCATATCCGCATACAGGCTGCAAAATAATATTAATGTTCTCTAAAATACTTCAGCCATAATCATAAAATCATCATAAAGTCAATTTGTATTTTAATAATCTATCTTTATTATCTATTCATTAAATCAGCATCGTTCTGAAATTTTTACTACTACCTAGTTAAAAGCCGTGCGATTTCTCATCAGGGTGTACTTGTTAAAAATTAAGTGGGCAAAAGATAATATAAGTTAGTCGAGCTAAATTAAGCTCGGCTAACCACTTTTTATTGACCCGTACGATCGTCAGGAGACTCCCGTAACGAAACTGGCGCGGCGCGGGCGTTACAATGTTAATGATCGGATACGCTTTTCGTTTCAGGGTGCAGCGTGAAATTTGCGCTCGGTCAGCAGGGTCCAGTCTTCATCCTGGAGCCACCAAGTACCCTAGTCTTTTCAAATACCACGGGCTCCCAATTAGGCTGCTCCGCGCACGGCAGCCCGACGCCGCATGTCACGTGGATTACCAGCCCGGATCAGAGATCAGTTACAGCGGTTCCCGGACTCAGGTAAATCACGTTTCTGAACATTTCTGGACGTTTCTGAATGCCCAACCGTCTCGACCGATCACGTTCGTGTCGGATCGCTTTTGCACAAATTTGCCAGGACGCTGAAATAAAAAAAGAAGAGTGAATATACGCGGAAGTGAAAGAGCTTGCTTCAAATTCGAGCGTGAAATCCGTCTTATGATTATATCACGGTCCTAGACGGTCTCTTTTTTCTGACTGTCCTTTACGCGAATCAACAGAGCTGCTTTGATATTCTTTCAGGCAACTTCTGGGTAACGGAACGCTATACTTCCCGCCGTTCTTAGCTCAGGATTTCAGAGCCGAGGTTCACAATGCCCGATACAGATGCCGTGCGACCAGCTCCGTCGGGACCGTACTTTCACGCGAGGTCACTCTTCGCGCTGGTAAGTTATCTTATCCACGTCTCATCCCTTCCGAAAAGTGAAAGCATAGTCTTGTAGACTTATGTGAAGAAACTTATCCGGTCGGAAGATTTCAAAATGTTTTATCATTCCGGCGGAAATGGCTTTCCGGCTCTGAGTGGAAAATGTGGTCGCGCGAATAAGATCCAAACTATCGTACTTCGCTATCGCGAATCGACAATCCGTTGATGTCGCTGATACACACGATAACCATTATTTATCGAGGAAATTCGCCGCGTACGAGATTCGTTGCAATAACGGACTGGCGGTACCGAACATCCCATTACGTCGAAGTGCTACGGTGAGTGCAGAGCCAACACCTCGCATTTTCAACCAAGAGGCTTCGCGCTATCCAAGTAAATACCGATGGGGAAACGGTTGAAAGCCGTTAAATTGTATCGGAGGAAGTTCGATTCGAGTACGTGGGCGAGTCTTCGTCGTTCCGAAAGACCCGAAGAGGGACAAAACTTTGTCCGGTCGGCGCTACGTGAGCCATCATTTAAATGGCTGATTCTAAGCCGATCATTACTACTAGCGGTAGCCGCACTGAATTCGCCATAGACTGTTTGCGTACATACAGCACGAATCCAATTGGAAAAAGAGTTCTTCTTTCGTTTTCATTTACTTTGATCTGAATGACCGTATCGTGTACCAATAATAATGGTAATAGGGACGTATATGCTATGTATATATGTGTATATATATATATATATATATATATATATATATATATATATATATATATATATATATAATCTCAAAAAATTATCGGTATTCGTAATATTGAAAATACAGAATGACACACGAAATGTCATAACATTTTTATATATAACATTTATTTTTAATAAAATTGATACGAAACTGGTACAGAGAAAATTGATTACCAAAGCCTGAAAATTGGTTAATTAAATGGTATGACATTTCGTGCGTTTTTCTGTATATCCTTTCTAAATGCTTTTTAGAATAAAAATAAAAAATAAAAAATCTAAATATTTTGCGTGCGCGCCAGATTCCCAGGGGTCTGAAAACTAAAGAATTTTTTTTTAATTAAAAAAGGAAAAAAGTAGGGAAAAAGATAAATTTAGGAAAAATTAGTATAATTGTTTCAAAATTGATTTCGCGTAATATTACTTAACTAATATTTACGTTTTGTAACATTTCATATCTTCCAAATATAATTATTGCCACGATAAAAATAAAGTAGATCAAATAAATCAAATCGCAAAATAAAATAACTGTACAACGTGTACTGCAAAAAAGTGATATGCTTCACTTTTTAGCCGGTGCATGTAACCTTTTAAATGGGTAAACACTGATCGCTTTCACGAAGCTCTCTAAGCTTACGTTGCACTTAGGTTGCTTGCTTTCTTAACGGCATTTTCGTCACGCGTTTTTAACCCTTCAAATAAAGGTAAAAGAGTCGTCAATTTTGCAAAAATGACTGCTGACAAACCGCAAGAAAAAAACTTAATATGTAAAAAATTCAAGCCAAATCATTATTTTTTAAATACGACACATTCCGAATCTGCCTGTTGTCTGGTAAGATAAAAAAAATGTCGCCTCATGACACACATGCGACAAAGCAATTCTCACGCAAAATATTGACGATCTTAAAAGCCCAAAGAATCCCGCATGTCAAATAATGTGTTTTACTGAGTATTTCAATATACTTTGCGCTCGTTCATAACAAAACTGGCACGCTTGTCGTATTTCACAGTATATACAAATTCGAAGAAATTGCGAGAATCCAAATACTCTTTGATGCTGTCGGTCCAAAGGCTGTCTCTCCTTTCAAAGCCGTTTCACGTGAAGCGACATGGAATGCGCGCCCCAGCCGTTGGAAAACTTTTGGTGGAAAGTTTTTCAAGATGATTCGACTAAAACGGGAAGAAAAATTCGCTTCGCCGCTAGTGGTTTCCGAAACTTTCTCCCAAAGTCACTGGACGATAAAAGAACGTCCAATCGATATCTTTTTACCGTACTGTCCTTGTCGTGCGCGAAATCCACCGATATAAGTAAAGCTTTTATCGCTACCAGCGCTTTCGTTCGTTAAAAGTTCACAATCTATTCCAGAATATATAGGCACAAATAATCAAATCATTCTATACTTATTCGTGCTTTTCACGAAAACAAATTTAATATGATTCCAAAATCATGTATGAAGTTATTCAAGTATAAATCGAGAGGCTTGTTTTTCCAATGAATCTCGTTTCTTCCGAATAATAAAAAATTAATAAATTTAGACCTTATTTTACCACTGATATAATTTCTTCTCTTTTTTTCATTAATATAAAAATAAAGAAGAAGGAACTTCCTACGGTAAACATTATTTCATTATTAACTTTTCCGACAAATAAAAAAAGTTCAATTATAAACTAATATTTATTTCAACGTATTTCGTATTTGTAATACGACGAACTTATTGCGTTGAAAAATCAATGATAATAGCATATAACGATAGTATGGCATAATAATAGTTAGAAAATAGCGTAATCAAAAAGTAATGACTATTCGCATGTAATCGTACGGGAGAGAGAAAGACATTCATTAACGCAACGTGCATGTTATCTCAGAGATCCCCCTTCTCGTTTCACTTTATTTTCGTCTATACGAGAACATCAGCCAAGGAGAATGTTCTAGCGGTGCTTCTTCTAAAACGAGCGAGCCCAAAAGGAACGGTTCACTTATCTAAAATGACATCGGTCGTCCCCACGTGCTCGCCAAAGAACTTATTCTGCAAGAGAGGGAGAGAAAGTCGTTGTCGAAATTCCCTTTTGTGAGAATTGCATTTTTCGACGAGCTTGAGAATTTGGTACCAACATGTCCAGCCTTCGTTCTTTTCAGCAGAGAAGAATGCTCTCCGAGGACGGAATTAGGGAATATAGCGAAGGGAATATTCATTATCCTACGTTATACCGTCACCAGTCCCGGTAGCATAAAGAATAATGTCTGAAGAAGGCGTCGCATTTTCAAAATTTAAGAGAGGCTGTATTGCGTGGATTTAACCTTTAGCAGGAGAGTAATCGTCGCCCGGATGATGCTCGCCCTGAGCCGGCTCCCGTTTAATCTTAATTTTTTTCAAATGATTTCATTACGGAAGGTATACGGCAAGCGTAAGTACGTAACGGCGGTAGAGTCTTATATTTTACGTGCTTTCCCGCACGATTTTTCTAGTGCTCGGAAAATGTTGCTCAAGGGGTATTTAACGTCGAAAAATAAAGTATCTCGATGGATTTAACGAAACATGGATAACGGAAAATGAATAAAGAATTATATCTTTATACAACAATGCAAATTGATATTTAATTAAAAGCTTATATTAAATTATAGAAAGGTTTTCATTGATTAAAAGTATATTTAGATAGAATAGAAGAAAAATGTCTCGAGAAATGTGGATGCTGTAGAGCGTGCATACGTGCATAAGAAATTAAACAATCGCGCACTGCATCGTATCTTACATTCTAATCCCTTGAAATTTGTATACTGGATATTTATTCGGCCGTGTTACACGACGAAACCGTATTTCTCCAAACATATGCCGAGTATGGATGCTATAGGAAAGAATTATTGCCTACCGCACGGTGAGAGATCACCCGTTTCTGCAGACGGACGATTCTCCAGTGTACCGCTTATTCTTCTTTATTTTCTTCATTTTATCAACAGAAAAGGTACGCGACTAGAAAAAGAACGTAACCACATTAGCAACCCACCACTAGTTCTCGAGAAATGGTCTTGGACAGAAAAAGGTCCATCCTTTCAGGCGACAAATGCTTGTATATGTGTAATACCAGCAAAACGGTCGACGGTTTTAATCACGCACAAAGCACGTTTTTGTTCCTAAGCGAAAAGTACACAAGAAATGTCTTGCGGCACAGCAATAAGATACAAAACTTGTCAAAACTTGCACGGAACTTTAAAACGTAGTTAAGGGATTATAACTGATTAGTTTAATTACAATATATTTTCTAACGAAGAATTTAAATAAGCTCTCATTTTTTTAAATAATCTTTTCGTTATTCGATTATTTACGTGTACTTGTATCATTTTTTTGATGGCCCGGTTCTTGGTTAGTTGCGATATAAGTGGCAATATATCCATTCTGGCGAAAATCTATTTTCTCCTTGGAAAATTTGATTTAAAAAAATTTACCGTTTTTCCACAGAGAGAGAGAGAGAGAGAGAGGGGGGGGAAAGAAGCCCGTACAGGTCTGGCAAAACACGCTCGTTGCAGTGGCGATGCATCGATACACCGCGGTGTGCATTTTCACGCCGCATCAGCGCGTAATGGGCGTAAAGCGCGCGGAGAGCGCGGTATCAGAGATCCGGCGTGAGCGATCTCTCACACAAGGGATGGGAAGGGAACGAATCCGTTCGTGAAGAGAGGAGGAAAGTTAATTCCAACGATTTCTACGAATCTGTGGAAATATCGTTGCCCGCCTGGCTGAAGATCCGCGCGCATATTGGCTTTATTTGCACATTTCGTTTCACCCCGTTTTCTCTCTCTCTCTCTCTCTCTCCCTTCGTGCCATCGTGCCATTTCTCTCGCATCCTCTCACCGGCACATCTCAATTTTATCGTCACGTACCGTGCCCTCTCTTCTCTCTCCATACTTGGCCCCATCCTACCTTTTCCTCCACCTCCCGATTCACAAACCGGCGTCTAACCGGGAGAAGGGGGAAGGACGCCTGGCGTCGGGACACCATCCGAGAAGCCCCCAATTTCCGACGCTCCGGACGGCGAAAAGGGTGGAACGACACGACACGACACGACTCGTCTCGTCACTCGGCGAATGGTAGTTCCTCCGACTCGCAACCTCTCTTGGCTTTTCTCATTTCGCGTCTTCTTCTAGGTGCACATCCCTTGGCCCCGTTCGCTGAGCTTTTTAAGCTTCCTCATTCCCTCCGTCCTGCTGTCTCGCTCCCTTCGTTTTACGAGCTATCGAGGAAATCGCGCACGTTACTTCGGCACGAATGTTTACGGACGAATCCACGGGGGGTGTCTCGACGGTGCTTGAAAAACATGAATTTTTCAATAATCTTAACGTCACGTACGTGAATTCGATCACGCACGTGTGATTTGGTTTTAAGATATTTTTCATTATAATCGAATATAATGATGTGAGATATATATTTATTTGTTGTAAACGTATCATAAAGAAATTGTGTGAAATGAATATTGAGCAGAATATTAAAAACAGCGGTTTGTATTGTTTTTCAATTATTAAATTAAAAGACACACTTATAAATTTAATACATCCCATCCAATATCGATTAAAACAGAAAGATAATATGTGCTTAACAGGGGCGATGTAGACGTAATAACGTTTTGAGTTACCGTATTCACTTAGCGATTACATGGTTAATATAACTAAAGATGCAAATGCGGGAAATTAATCGCGCACTTTGTGCCAACATTCATTATAGCGCAGTGTGTGAGTAGAATGTGTATACGCGCGAGCAGGTGTGTCTCCGGAGAATAGGATATGCGACCTGAGGGCTGTTGGCAACGTCACTGTTACATATTGATGTATGAGTGTGTGCTTAGATTGAGGGTGATTAGGTTCAGGAAGAGTTTGTCTTGTACCTCAACATCTTGTATCTTAACCGCGAATGAAACGCATTATATCGAGTAAGCTAAAACAAATAACAATTGATTGGTTTTTATATATATAGCTATCAAAATTCTTTCAAAATTTCATCATTGGAATTGTATTTAATATAATAAAATGTACTTGTAATAATATGTATCAAATGTAAAATAGGAGTATAAAATATTTTTAATGTATTCATGATAGTCTCTCCTTAATAATAGGCTGTCCAAGTGTTTGAAATTTTATTCTCGTAAATTAACGCGTAAAATAACGAAATAAGCCGAGTGAATCGTATTACAACGCAGCCATTGTCCATGGACTTGAAATAAGTTTGATCGTTCATTATGCATGCTTCTACTTCCCTATGTCTTATTTTCCACTTTCTGCCCATAGTAACTTCTTAATAATCATCCATCTTCCGCTTTCAACGCTACGTCACCTCGTCCTGCTTTAATTTCCCTCCCCTTTTGCTCTGACTTTCTGTTATATACTAATATAACAGAATTTTATTATAGAGAGCCTCGCAATGTAATTACTTTGACTCGCAGATTCTCTTTAATTATTTTTCCTTATCAAAAATTCGATGATAATGATATAATTTTTTTCTCTAATTTCAAAATTATTGAAATATAACTCAATAATTCATAATCAATAAGTTTTAAATATTACGATTTTGTATTATAAACTTAATATCCTCCAGCGGTTACTCTTTTTAAAACTTATTAGTTTTAAAAAGATTTAATACATTGAAAAAAAAATGTCGAGCTTAAATTTCTCTATTCTTGATTATTTTTATGATTATGAAAATTAGTTTTCCAGAAACTTTGGGAAATATTTCGCATAAATTTCTTGTAGTAATTAATCCTAGAATTGAATGTTTTGTAACAATTTGTATTACTTACAGTATTGACGGTACCCGGATACGATGTCAGGGTAAACAGACAACCCGTCATGGAAGGATGCAACGCAGTGTTGTCCTGTACAGCTCGGGAAGATGTTAAGGAACACCTCACTGTAACCTCCTGGTTCCGTGACGACGCTATTCTCTTACCTGGAAACACAGATACTGGTGAGTAAGTGAGCGTTGAGATATATCATTTGCTATTATAATCCAAGATAGAGCGTGTCGACGTTAAATCTTTTCGAGAATCATACGTGTTTGAACATCGACAACACACCACGTATATCACGTATCCATAATTAATTTCACACTTTAAACATTATGGTCGAAACAAATTCGAACTAATTCTACGCTGATTCATCAATTTTCTATCGATATGTACAAAGATGCATTTACGTGTTGAAATCAGTTTACGAATACACATAGAAAATATCATTCTATTGCTAAGAGAAATGATTACTCAATTTATTTATTTTTTTTTAAGTAACAATTATTTTTAAAAGAATTTATTCTTGGTAATAATCTTAATACATGCTTATTACAAATTTTAAAAAAATTATCATTATTATGTAGTACTCAAAACGAAGAATTAATTTTCTTTTAAAGAATATTATAAAATTTTATTGAAGAAGCGACTTTATATAAGCAAATCGAATTTAATATAAGCAATCTTAATTTTGACAATTTTGACACACAATATTGGAGTATTAAATTATTAGGATTCAAAATATATTTTGAATAAATTTAATACTTGTAATGAACACATAATATAGATTTGCGAATGTACGTATATGAACTTATAAAATACTTGAAACAACTAAACAACCTGTAATTATTATTTACATACAATATATTTTTCTGTATATAAATACGGACGTGTTAATGCGTCCGTTGTGGTTAAAGCGAATAAAAAAGAATGTGATAGGAAATGCACATATTCGCATATAAATGAAGAGGTAGAGAGATATATCCGAAGCGCAATTCACTCCTCATCGCTTATCATAATCCCTCATACATAGTAATTTTTAATCATAGAGTCGCTTTATTTAAGGGATTATTACAATTTTCATGAATTACGATAAATTTCACAAGAAAAGGGCACGGCTCGAAAAGGATTAAATTAACGTAATTATGACCACTAGCGAAGCAAGTGGCATACAGATAGAGAGGGAGAGAGTACAAAATGCTTGATCTCTCGGATGAACATCCGGTAACGCGCACGAGCTCACAGATTCGTATACCCACACAACTGACACACACACACACACACACATATATATATACATATATATATATATATATATATATATATACCTATACATGTACCACTGCGGCTACACACGTACATGCGCTAACTTGGTGGTTTAGATCGTCCTGTACACGCTCAAGCATTCATGTCCCATAC